AATGTAAGCACTCAATCATAGGTGGAATATTAAGTCTGGCCAACTTTTATGAACAGTTAAAAGTCCCGTCACACTCTCTTTCTAGTTATTAAATCAGTTCCAGACTCATTCTATTAATTGTTGTTTAAAGGGGGTTGCATTTGTGGGTGGATATTTGCATATCACTTGATTTGGCAAATTTCCTGGCAAGCTCTTGAGTGGAGCTGGCACTGGACTGGGCTGGACCCCATTCGAGTTGATTAGAGTGAAAATTCCGACGCAGCTTGTTAACTAATTGAGTGGCCATTTCCGCCCACCCAGTCAGCCTCCTACTCTCAGGCTATAAAATTAATTAAATTCATTTTGTTTGATAAGCGCCGCTCATGGAACTGCAACTGAAACCTGAAACCAATGTCCAGGCGGCTCATATCGGATACGGCCAGGAGCGAGGGATGCCTTTCAATAATGCAAAATGTTTGATTTACTTGTATTTGCCTTTGCCAGAAATTCTCACAAATATTTGCATATAATACAATGCGCTCATTCACGTATTTAAACAGTAAATGCTTAATGCTCTTAGCCTTAATGCATTCGACATCCTAAATGCGTACTCAATTACGCTCTGAATTTCCTAGAATAATCAGCCAAAAGGTGAATTTTCCATCATTTTATTGCCGGTACTAGTATGTCATGAGAATATCAAAGCAGTTTGTCAGAATTGATCAATAATTTCCCATAGCCGAATTAAACACTTTTGCAACGAATCACAAATTGTAGTATAAGTTACAAAATCGGAATAAATTGAAACGGTAAAGCGTAAAACGGTTAATCAGAGAAAGCTCCGCAAAGTTTTGACATAGCTTTTTCCCTACCGTGCGTGCCCGCTCTGTCTTGTGAGCGAGAGGGAGAGCGCTGCAAGCAAAGGAATACAAAAGGAACGCCAAAATGTTGTCAAATGTATTGCGTGGCTGTCAGCGTGTAGGATGTCGCCGAATGGCGCTGCGTTACTTCTGCTTAGATCTGGTCTACAAGGTGAGTGTTTGAACAAGCGACCATTCAAGATGGGTATACCAACACTCCTAAGCAGGATGATTATGTTGAGAAGTTGCGGAACAGCTTCTACTCGGAGGAGCGCAGCAACGTATTGTTGCCGACATACAAGAAGGCCATGCTCTTTCCGGACGATCTGGCCGTTAGGGATAATGTCGGGGAGTACACCTACTTCCAGTTGTATATGGCAGCCAAGCGATTGTCCATACAGATCTCAAATATATGCGGTAGCTATTGAACAATCCGCCGGCCATAGGCTGGATCTCTCACACTTCTATTTGTTTGGTTTCAGGCAGCGGCGCTTCGTTGCCTGTGGGGTTTTTCTGTGCCAATAATGCCATGTGGATTGTGATGCTGTGGAGCTGCTGGATGTCCGGCCAGGTGGCAGTGCCACTGCGTACGCTCCCTTCCCTGGAATTGTTGCGTCTGCAGGCGATTGATTGTCGGCCAAGCCTGTTGATTGGCACGCCTGAAAACGAAAACATTATGGAGGAACTGGCCAAAACCCTCAACGCTGCCACCATTATGCTAAGCCATGACTTTGTGCCGCCCGTGAAGGACATCTCCTCGACAACGATATACGCCCAGCAGCTGGTGATCACCGGAAAGTCGGGCGTACTAATGCCCGAGGCCATGCTGCCCAATGACTTTTACGAGAACAGCATGGCCATGATGCTCTACACATCGAACGAGACGCATAGCCCCAAGCCGGTGATGCTCAGCCATCGCAATATCGATGCCCAGGTCCGTTGCCTGATCGACACCTGGCGCCTGGGGCCCAACGATACCCTGCTGCCCGTCCTGCCGATGCTGCACATGCACATTGCCATTGGGGCAGTACTTCATGTGGGCGGAAATGTCGTGCTGCAGGGCTGCTTCAACACCAGCAGCATCTGGAACTCGCTGCTGGGCGTCAATCTGTCGACCAAGAAGCGCTGCACCTGCTTCCTGGCCATGCCCATCGTGTACAAGCAAATGATTGCCGAATACCAGAAGATGTTCCTCAAGGATACGCGCATGGTCGAATACATTAAGAAGCACTGTAGCGAGAAGATGCGTTTAATGGCCACTGGCTTTGCCATGCTGCCCGATTCGGTATTCAATAGCTGGCGCGACATCACCGGCCACCACATTCTGGAGTACTACGGCATGCTGGAGACGGGCTTCGTGCTGGGCCATGCCATTGAGGAGGGTCCCAAGGAGCTACCCAAAGTGGTTAACCAAATACGTGCTCCCAAACCACAGCCCAGATCCTTTCCACCCAACTACAAGACGGGCATGTTGGGCACCCCTCTGCTGGGCGTCAGTGCGCGCCTGATGAGCCCCACTGGCAAAGAGATCTTCAAGTGCCAAAATCATGTCGATGGTCCCAACAAAACGGGACCCCTCGGTGAGGCCTCCAATATTCCTGTCGCCAATTTCGATCCAAGCAAAGCTGTGGCCATTGGACATCTGGAGATAGCCTGCAAGCATCTGCCTGGAGTAGACGTGGAGGAGAACTTCATACCCACCGGCGACATGTGCGCCTTTTACAATGACAACTTCTACTTCATTAGCAAGACATGCGATGTGGTAAGCGTTGGGGGTTACAAGCTTAACGGCTCGGAGGTCAAGAAGGTGCTGCTCTCGCATCCAAAAATCAACGATGTTGCCATACTGGCCATCCCGAATAAGGTGTGGGGCCATCGACTCTGTGTCATTTGCATTGTCTCGCCCGATGTCGAAATTGAGTTGGAGTCCATCGAGACATATTGCCAGGAACACTTGCCACCCTACAAATGTCCTCAGGTCGTAAAGGTGGTAGTCGCCAAGTAATTTGCCACCGTTTAATGCTCAGTCGACATTCGACCCGACCACTTTCATCTTACACGATAAAATTTAAAACACGAAACTCGAACGAATAAATGAAATTTCAGGCATTGCCAAGCGATCTCTTGATGAACTTTAATTTGATTATGTCCTTGAGTCGAGGTATTAAAAATTTCTATAAAATTTGACTGTCTTTATTGCAAAAAAATCGCTTCAACGACATTCTTTCACCTAGCATTCCATTCCTCTCACAATGCCAACGGACGGCAGGGAAATTCTATCTCGTTAGATAGAGGAAGACTCAGCTGCTGTCGCTGCCTCCTATCGGACTCTCCCTTTTGCATATCCCGTTCGTAGAGAAGATTTTTTGCATAGCTGCCGTCATTGGAATGCGCAGCACGACGATGCGAAGCCTGCAAATAACGGTAACCGACAATGAGGTCCATGTAAATAGGGAAGGAATTCATCAGCGCTTAGCAGCTCTGGCTTTATTGACAAAGTTTGATTTAATTGATTTGTTTTGTTTTTTTGTTGTGTTTCATCGATGAACATTTTCCAAGTTTAAATTTCAGAAGCAAAATATGTTGCAGTTATGCAGTATGGCTTGTTAATTCATTTGTAAACAATTGTTTGTCGCGAAACCAAAAAGTTTAATCATTGTTTTTTTTGCACTTTAATGTTTGCTATTTTCAGGGCTTTTAATTTGTTGACATCAACAACTGATACAGCTGGTTGAAGGGGACCAAATACTTGATAAAATAGATCTGACCCGATGTCAACCAGCTACATACAGCGTTGCGCATAATAATATATACACAGCACAAAATTGAATTAAATTGAATATTGTTGTGGACTGTTTGCATTTCATTAAGCACGTTTTGTTTCAGCATCAATTGGGGCTCCACAATATTCAGACGGCCAGGCAGTCGCATAAATCAATTCCCACTAATTACACGCCATTGTTGTGGGCGGTGAATTATTTTATTTTTGCAAAACAATATTAATTGAATAAAATATGCCAATGCAGTAAATCACACTAACAATGCAGTGGCCGTCATCTTTGACAATTATTTTTTGTTCCACAAAATCGTAGGCAGAGGGATCCCTATCGGAATACCCTCTATGTTATATTTTGAAATGCTTACAAAAACACTTTGTTGATTGTTTTCTGGCAGTACTTTACATGCGATAAAATTAAAAATTAACAAAAGGATAATTAAGATTGAGACGAAAACCAATCTAAATTGCTTTACCAGGTATTTCCTAGTCCATAAAAGTACCTACCTTAACACAAATTTTCGCTTGATTTTAATGGATTTGCCAACTTTAAAATTTTTGTTTTTTCTGACCACGCTTTCTGTACGTTGCTCCTCTCACTAGGCATTCTCATTGTTCACACTTTCCCCCACACACCACTATCTCTTTTCCGCTCTCTTTGTGCCTGGCATTCTGTTGTTGCTCTGCTGCTGCTTGCGCCACATTAGCTTCATTTGTTCTATTGTTTTGATTATGATTTACAATGCCCAATGCGTTTGCTTTTGTTGTTGGCTTGCGGTACTTTTTCACGCGTGCGTGTGTGTGAGCTTGCGTGGGTGTGCATTTGTGCTGAACAAAGCATAATACATACAGCATTTGCATACAGCAAAAGAGACAAAGAGAGTGGAGGGGGGGTGAGCGAGGGAGCGTGAGATGACTGCATACCACACAATAAATTTCATTTAAGCTGTGTGCCAAAATGTATGAGTGTTTACGGTACCACAAGCAGCGGGTATTATGGTTATCATGAGATGTTTGTGGAACATATGGCAACGAAGATGTTCAGTAGTGTATTGAATTTGTCTCTTCTTTAAGTTCCTTTAATTCTAAACTGACTAAAATTATATCAAAGAGAAGTCCTACACCCTCAAAATTTGTTATTCCCAATCCCTAATTACTCTGTTGTTTTCTCTTAATTCCCACACACTTACAAAACAGTTGTTAACGCTTATTAGGCCTTTTGGTTAGTTGCTAAATTCCCCAGAGTAATCGCAAAGAAACCTATTTTCCCACACTAATGCCCAGGCCCAAACTTTAATTTGTATGCTTTAATTTTCAGTGGAATAACATGGAGTAGTGACTGGGAATTTTTGCAAACGAGTGCCATGCCAAAGACCGTCTCCATACTAGTAGAATTTGCTCCTCTCGAGAATGGTCTCAATCGAATTATCGCGCTTGTTCGGTTCCTCGTTGGCCGGACGTGGATCGTTTGTGGAAATCATTTGCTTGCTGACAATATTATTGGGTGTAGTCGTCGTGGTGGTAGCACCCTTGCTGGTGCTCGGCTGATCCGCCAATATATCAGTGGGGAAGAAATGCGCCTCCAGCTGGCGCACACCCTCGGGGGTGCTCAGATCGTAGGCAAACTTCAGATACTTGTCGAAGAAGCTCTTGTTGCGGTTGCTCTTTTCGGGACTGGGCGACTTTGACCTAGGCTTGGCCCTTACCTCTTTCGAACCTTTTGACTTTTTGAGCGGAACATGCTGAGCTGTGGCCACGGGTATCGCGATCCTAGGGCTTTTGACTGGAGCGTTCATTAATCTCTGATACGAGTTGTAACCAGCAGTAGTGACGTCTGCTACGGGTAGATTCCAACGTGCGGGCATCCTGGTCCCCTGACTGGGAATCCGCACGTCCTGCCCTATGGCATCCTGAGGCTTGGTCTTGGTCGGAGTGTCCTGGGTCTGCTTACGGAAGCCCAACTGACTCTGAGCAGACTGATTCGAGGGTACCTTACCCTTCACTGCAGTCGATTCGGCGAACTTTGTAGTCTTGGGTTTACCAGGAACCGCTGGCTTGCGGGTCGCGAGGTTCTGGGCCATCTTTCTAGAAAAAATACTTTTGGAAAATAGTACTATATCGGAACTATAAGGAAATTTTTAAAGAAATTATTGTATTGAAAACTATAGCCAATCCAGAACGTGAAGGTCAACTGAAATTTGTACGGACTAAATGGAAAAAACATGACTACAAAAATATGATGAGAAAGGCAAAGGAAATTCTTTTGGGAATTCCTCAATTAAAGTGCTCGAGTTTAGCATTCCATGATTCTTGTTTGGAATTAACAAATATATAATACACAAAAGCATTTGCCAGAAAAATGTTACCCAAACGAAAGGTTTATAATCCGCTTGGATATAAAGTTCTTTTCCCCTTATTTTTCGCCACTGACACGACAAAAAGTCAAAGCTTAAAATGTGAGTAATTTAACAAAAGCGAAACGAGAAGGACAGATAAAAAAGATAGATCCACATAGAGGCAGAGAGAAACAGAGTTATTTTGTTGGATTCCTTTTTTTGGGACAGCTGGTTGAAAAAAGGAAAAATAGACAGCAAAAAAAGGAAAATAACAATTAATTCCGGATAAACACATTTTATAATTAAAAAATTCCTTTCGTTTCTTGACGGAACACACAAAAACAAAGACAGCGGTGCTAAAGTGAAAGAGCAAAAGAAATTAAGTGAAAAAACAAGAGATAGGGAGAGAAAGAGAGAGGAGAGAGCAGAAGGACAGAGAGAAAGGAGCAGGACACAAGGCGACTGAATGACGACAGGCAGGATACAGCTTAGGAGACTGACACCCAAGACAGGCAGTTTGAAGAGTGGGGGTACAGTGGAGCACATCAAACTCAAGATATGCTGCAGAGGAAGCGGAATGAAAAGCGAACTAAATGCAACACATGGCGAGTGCGCAATGTTGTCTGGAATTGGACGAGAAAACAAAAATGTAATCATCCTTTCAGGGTACTGAGCCGTACGGAGAGTTGGGGGTTGAACTAAGCTGATTAGGGTTACCAAAGGGAGGGAGCAAAAGCCAACCTTACCTAATTTCTTATTTTTCTAGCTTTTCTCATCTTCTATTACATATGTATATGATTATATTTGGATATACTCTAGTTAAGGGTTACATTTCATTATCTTTGGCCAACCATGCATAACTATTTAAAATATAGAAATCTGTAGACTAGCGAATAGAGCTGGTTTAAAAATTCCTTCACTGTCCATGGAATATCAGAAAGGGTATCTCACATTTGCCTACAAGCCTTATTTTTATGTATTTCTTTTTTTCGTTCCTATCCTTTTTTTTTGCATTTCCGTGGACCAAGTAATTTATTGTTTTTTGCGTAATTAACCTGCTTCGTGGTCGCGTTCTTGTTGCTGCCGTTGTGCCTAATGACGTTATATACATTACATTTTGCATGCCTCAAGGATGAGGCAGCCAGTCAGCAGTCACCATTTATCGTATTTTTTCTGCATTTTTTTGCCGCTTCCCGAGACGAAAGAAATTTCATTTCATTTTTGGTGATTCGAGTCTTATCTGTGTGTAAAGTCGTCCACGTAATTAGTTTCATCCTACGGTAGACTACCGTCCCCTACTATGGCGGAAGATGGCGACCTGTGCCCGAGTTTTTTCCCCTTTTTTCGCTTACATTTCAGAAAATTGTGCGCAGCTTGGCTAAAAGTTGGTGGACAGGGGAGCTCGGTAAAGATGTAGCTAACTGAGGGGGAAAAAGGTTATAAGCGGTAGGGGTACAGGGGGAATTGGATGGGCCAACTGTCAGCTTAGACCCTCGCTGGGAATGCGAAATGACAGGCAAATTAAAGCTGAGTGGATGGGTTCGGATTTGGATAGGGGATCTGGTTCGTGTTGGGGCAACGCAAAATTTATCAGAGCTACAAATACCCTGATAAAGGTATTAAAATAGCCATGCTTCAGCGAAAAAAATGCTTCAAAAAAGGCAAAATTCTTCACTGACATTCGCTGGAAATATATTTGAAATGGAAAAAGTTTCTGACCAACACAAAGGGCAAAAAAAAAATATTTAAATAATTGGATTAAAAGTCAATTTCAACAGAAAATAACACCTTTAGTGAGTGCAGAACTGATAAAACTCAGCAATTATTTTAACACATCACAAGTTTGGACATTTACTCAAATGGGAAACTAAAACTGAATATTCGCTGACTTTCTATGGATTTTGGTTGCATGCAAACTAGCATTTGAAAAGACATTTATAATAATCTAGATACAAGTAGCTAATCATCTTTCACCTAACTAAGACTTAACTTTAACTGCTTCTCTAAACTGTGTCCCATATGTTACATAGACTCATTTTCTCGGTGGCTTTAAGTTTTCTTTACGAGCTCGAGAAGCGTTTCCATTCAACATGAAAGGAACATTTGTATTCATAGTGAAGGGAATTGTTTGGGTTGAAGGAGATTGCTCAGGCAGCCTGTTGCCAATTGTTGAACAAACAACTATTTACTTGACATTTGTGTAGGGATGTGTTGTCGTTGTCGCTGTGCCCCTCCAACTTGACTGCTATTCTTTTCTTTGCATTCAGGTCCTGCGCCATTGTCCTTTGCCTCCACTTGCCACTCTACCCCGCCACTCTACCCTTCGGTGAGAAGAGGCAGTTGCTCTTTCTTACTTCGTTGTGCCACTCTCTTGGGCATTAGTGTCAACAGAATGTTGCAACAACTTCTCACCTGCCTCTTCAACTGTTCATGTAGCCATATATTTCACTGCTTGAGTGGCAGTCAATTGGAATTCCCAAAAATATATCTATAAATTGCAACATAAATTATACGCCTAATCGAGTGGGGAAATCTGGTCCCGTGTGCTTAAGCGGAAATGGAGTACAAAATGAAGGTACAGTCAAGCAGAAAATACAAATGGACTGCCGACTTTTAGATACCCAATGGTCAGCAAAAACTAACAGTGGGCAAGGGGACAGGGCTCTTTTCAGACTTTTCTGTTAAGAGGCTTTGGTCAAAAACCTTAACAATACATAAAGTTTTATTCATAGGACCAATAAAATCTATAGGGTATGGCTTGTACTCCTCAATTTGTGTGAACAAAAATCTCGATTTGTCTTTTCCCACCGTTCTTCCCCTCACTGCTCTTTCCCACTTTCTCTCCCACTATCGCCGGCGCCATTCGTTGATGTTAACATTTCCGCTTTATTTGTCTGTCTGCCCTTTGGTGCCCGGCGCCTTATCTATGCCAGCCACTCCCCCCGTCCGTTTTCAGTGCTTTTCCACCTACATTCAATTCGACTTTTGTTGCTGCAGTTGCAGTTTTATTTTTGCTGCTTTCCGTTTTTATCTCTTCAGTGCCGCTGTCTCAGTCTCTATGGACGTTGACGTTGTCTAATGTTTTAAATATAAACTCCAAATAATGCACAAAATAAAAGCATAAATCAGCTTTGGATTTCTTTTCAATCTGCACAAAAGAAGTTACGGATATAGCAAGACGCAGCGAGGAGAGCATGGAAGGAAAGCAGCAAGAGATAGTCCTCCATCCTGCGTCCTCCACTTTTGTTGTTCTGACTTGTTCGGGAAACCATAAATTATTTGCTAAACAAGTTTATCTAACTAATTTGATAGTCTGAGTCGGCTTTCAGTGGTGTTCTCTTTTGAGTTTTGGCTTTTGGCTTTAGAAATAAGTTTAAGAGGATATGTTACAAGAAATATTTAGAAGGTATTTTGATTTATGGGAAAAGGCTTGTAAATTGGTCATAATTAACCTCAGCAGAATTTCCATCTCAATAGCATTCGATGAAGATACGTACCTTCCATCGAATCAACATCATTGGAGGGGTGTCTGACTTGCACAATTCTCGCCAGACAAAGCAAAAGTGACAGCTAAATTTCCCGTTTACCTCTCTTTCGCACACAGATGAGCGATCAATCAAAAATTACATGCAAAGTGTGCCACCAAGGACTCCCTGCTGCTCCTGCTGATGTCTCTGCATCTTGTGAATTGAAACGTAAAGTGTGGGCACGTAGTCCAGGTGCCTTCCATACCCACTTCACCTGACCATTTAGCCACACGAAACAGTTAATTAAATGATGAAAGCATTGACGTGTCGCAAGCACTAAACGGACAACCGACAGGAGCTGGAGGAGGCACCCAGGCAGGCAGACAGCCAGGCAGCAGACAGGCAGCCAGTCAGCCAGGAGTGCTGACATGCGAAGCCATGCGAGACTGCAGGATAGACGGAATGGACTGGTCTGTAAGCCAGGGACTTGCCAGGCACTACTTCGACCTAGGAACTTGACAGACGCACGTTCACTGAGTCCATAATGCAACGAGAGAGCTGATGCTCCCAGCTGTGGCAGATGCTCACGAACGGAGGGTACAGTGGTTCAGGGTCTAATGGAGAGCAAAGAAATGGTACATAGAGCTGATGCAGATGGATATCCAAAGCTAATAAATAATCTTAGAATGATCAGACTTTGATCATAGGCTTTAAAGGTAAAGAAAACAGCAGAAGTTCCAGTTTCAGATCATCTTCCAAATTAAACTAAAGTCCCAACTCAATTTGGAAGATAACAAATTTGTGTTTCTTTGCTTTGGTGCAACCCACTGTGCGTCGAGCTCTTGGGTCACGTACACGCTTCAGTTGCATGTCACACGCCGCTTGATTGGTTGCCTGATTCGTTGATTGCCCTGCTCGGGCACTCACGTGACAGAGCGTAGCCCTCGGGCATTGTCCAAGCAACCGACCTGCGGTTACTTGTTTTTCTTTGACCCAGCACTGTCCAATCCAATGCTGCTCATGCAACACCTCTGTGGCACCACACACACCACTTGTCTCTCTGTCAGTCAATGCAATCAGATGTCTCATGTGTGTGTGTGTGCGCATTCTAATTTTCATTTCATTTCCACTCGAGAGCCGCAAAATCCACCGACCAATGAACCAACGCATTACGTTGCGGATCGAGTGAGTCGGTCATTTGCTGATTTGATTGATGGTTGCTGCGCCCTGCTGTTTGGCCAGCTAATGAACTTACATAAGTGAAACCGTTAACAAGTTATGGACAAACGGGATTTGCTTGTCTACCCATGTCCATGAGTGGTGTGTGTTCGCCTGGATTCCCATGTCCATGCATGAGAACCGTGCATCGCCCGTGGTCCCATATCCATGTT